TGAACTCCTGAGATAGACGCATTGTGGAAGCGTAGAGCCTAAAAAATAGACTTGAAGGGTAAGCTTCTCTACTCTTCTGGGATGCTTCGTGGTTGGTGGAAACACACCCATCCACCAAAACGGTGGTTAATTACATTTATGTTTATGTATTTAGCAGATGCTTTTGTCCAAAGCGACTTACAATTGATAATCGGCATGTTGCCCTTGAGGCTAACAACAACAACAACGTGACATCAGTCATGGAGAGGAGGGAACAAGGAGTGGACAGTAGAGGGGGGGACGGGTGCAGGGAGGGTGCTAGTTAAGCAGATGCTCTCTGAAGAGCAGGGTCTTCAGGAGTTTCTTGAAAATAGAAAAGGAAGCCCCTGTTCTGGTAGTGCTTGGTAGGTCATTCCACATTTGTGGAACGATGCATGAGAAGAGTCTGGATTGTCCTGAGCGTGGTGTAGGCACTGCTAGCCGACCATCCTGTGATGACCGGAGCGGCCGGGCCGAGACGTAAGCCTTTGCAAGAGGATTCAGGTAGATGGGAGCCGTACCATCTCTGACTTTGTATGCTAGTGTTAGCAATTTGAATTTGATGCGTGCTGCTAGCGGTAGCCAGTGGAGCTCAATGAACAGAGGGGTGACGTGTGCTCTTTTTGGCTGGTTGAAGACCAGACACGCCGCTGCGTTCTGGACCATCTGGACCATTATGGCATTCTACGCTCCATAGAAGCCATGCGTCCGGCGGAAAGCCTCAGTTACATCGATGAAAAGGTAGGGTTGGGCAGCAGAAGCTTGGGAGGTAGAGCGGGTTGTAGGTTCAATCCCGGCTCTCGCCAGAGAACGCAGCTGTTGTGTCCTTGGGATAGACCCACATTGCCTGCTGGTGTTGATCGGAGGGACCGGTGGCCCCAGGGCAGCTGTGGCTACATCGTAGTGCATCACCACCAGGGTGTGAATGGGTGAATTACTGACTGTGTTGTAAAGCACCTTGGGGGGTGTAGCGCTAAACAAGTACAGGTCATTTACCATTTTATGGAAGAAGCCATTAACGCAAGCTACATTTTGGAAAAAAAAACACAATTCTAAGGTCCAACCCCCTTTTCAGGCCCCGCCTCTCAGCCACACCTCCAGACCATAGGAGAATGCCAGAGGCAATGGATACTTTCAAACATCTATAAAACATTATCTAATTATGTTTGGACCCTTCGTTGGCATCATTTCAGCCGCGGACCCTCCAGTATTCTGACGGATTTTTCCTAATCCGATGCGGGTCAAGAGTTCTCCAGACATCGTTCTCACTGATCGTTCAGAAGAGAGAAACCACGGGGACCTAAATCAGAGATCCAACGGGAAGAACTGGGCCTGTTACCCTGGAAACACACTCCACTACTTCTGCTCAGGCTATGTATAAAAGTTTAGCTAACACTGCTAGCCTGGCTCTAGCTTCACTTCCTGTTTGTGCACGTAGAGGGGTACGTACGGAGGGGGGAGGGACTGTGAGGAGAGCAGTTTGATGGATGGATCAATGACTGGGTGGGGTTTTTCCAGGAGGCTTAGTTTCAGATGGGATTGAAATGATTCCTTTTGTTGACAAAACATTTAAGCTACTGGCTGTCATCTGTATGGGAAGCATTGCAAGCAATATGGAGACAAGCAGAGCCCCATCTACTCCAATGTTTAGTGAGATGGAAGTTGAAGCCATGATTTGGGGGTGGGGGGGGGGGGCTGCATTCATAGATTACAGGACAGTCTGGCATCCTGGATGCCAAACATTCAGACATGAAGGGATTATTCAGGACTTTTGCACAATCCGCTTGGCCGCATAGATCATTTCCAGTAAGTTGTGAAAATGTGACTCAGGCGACGATTCTGAATAAGTCCTTCAGCACGTCACAGACTCTGTGTCGAATTAGAGCTGAACAGTTTCAGCAAATATATGAAACTAGCCTTTAAACAACATTAAAGTGTGGTTATTGTAAGCTGAGGTACTAGTCATGGCTGCTGCTGCTGCTGGTCTCTAATAAAAGGTTGTGATTGATGGAGTCTATATCAATGAGGAAGTGGAACCCGCTCACTCCTACACCTCTCCATTCTCCCGCTGCAGAGCTGATGACAAGGTGTTTCTGAAACCGCATTAGGGACGCTTTCGTAAAGGTTTCACTGGGGAGTGTGCAACAGCTTGAAACATTTAGGCCGTCTTTAATACGATGCAGGCTGGCTGTGCAACGCTGCGTCTGCTCGGTGGAGAAGGGGGTCTGAGACCCCCACGGGCAGAGTTTGCTTTGATATCTGGAGGCGGAAGGGGAAACAGGACAGAGTGCCCCCACACACCCTTCAAACACACACACACACACACACACACCTGAGTGCGCGCCGCTGCCCTGTGAAGTTACGACCGTCCAGCGAAGGCCTTTGAAGTGCATCTCCGAGGCTTTACGCCCCGATGGGAGACGTGCATGAAGAGAAGATCTCGTGATCTGCAGTAATGCGTCTGTTTCGGCCACATGCTGTACGTGTTAGGCAAGGCGACTCAGATCCAAAACACAATCTGTCCATCAAAATAAAGCTGGAGAATATGGAAACCTAAAGTCAATAGTTTGGAAACACTCTGAATTTTTCATTATTACTTTTATGAGAAAAAACAGAATTTTTTTTCTCTTGAGATATTTAAAAGTGGTTCTCGTCTCAGAGGTTCACAGCTTTTTCAGGATTTTGGTTCTTTTTTCACTGATGATAAAACCATCTTCTTTTTGTTTTAACTAAATGAAAAAAGGCTTTTGAACTCATTTTGACTCACAAATTGGCAAAAATGAAGAAATCCAATTTGACCTTTAGCCTCTTGTCACAAAATCATCATTTGTCTTATATTTTTAGTTGAATCTAAACATTAATTTGACTCATAAAACAGTATTTAAGCCCAGAGAAGGCGATTCCCAAAGTGAACGTGTGATGACGAACTGAAGGATCTGAGATCCTGTCCTCTTAGATCTTTCAGGTTAGATGATGTGACAGAAAATGAAAGAAATGCAACCAAAGCGTCCAGAAAGCCTTTTTAGTGTGTGTGCATGAGCAGACGCATCAGTACCACAGAAGGTCTGGTTGTTTATTTGATCTTTTATGTTGAATAAAAGAAAATTCCTCGTAAGAAATCAGCTGAACTCATCCACACTGTATTTAAGAGCACTTCACAGACTTGACAGTTATAAAAACAGTGCTGCCAGCCAGAGCAATTATTTGGCCGTGACACAATTAGGTCCATTATGCTTGTAGGAAATCCAGAATCTGGGCTCTACTCGGGCTGAGCCGAGGCTCGTGGTGGGTCGGGGTAAATTTGCTGAACAAATGAGAGAGAGGCTGTGCACTTGTGTGCCGAAGAGCTGACCTCCTGCACAAATAATGTGGCGTAATTAGGAGCTGCACTTGTGACCCTGGTGCCAAGGTTAGCATGAGGGTTAGCCCAGGTTCACAGCAAGGTCTCAGCCAGGTGGCCTGAGCGCTTTCTGGGATGTCAGACTGAGCTTAGGAAGTCTGGGTAAACAGTAGGGTTGTTTGTTCCTCTGATTGGGTCGTGACACGCGGGGTGACGATGGCCGGACGTCAACACCGGGAGGTATTTACAGTCTGCTGTCGCTGCTCTGCCGTCACCTGTGTCACTAAAACATCCCGGTCCCTCCTGGGTTTAATTAAATCTAGGTTCTCCACCTCTCCGCACCTTACAGGGACGATGAAGCTGTTTACTCTGGCCACCTCTGTTCTAATCTCTGGATGCTCCAGTGCTTGGACAGTGTGGCCCCCAACCCTTTCAGGCCCTTTGAGGGGGGACGACCCCCCCACTGCACACTCGGAGCTAACTGGTTAGCTAAAACGTCTTCTGAAGCGGTAGCTGGTGATGAGAAAAGCAGGTGAGGTGTTTAAACAGAGTTTAGCAGCTATTAAAATGCCATTGGGTTGCCATGGTGACGAGTTAAGAGATTTGCCTTTGTGATGAAACTGCTGTGACTTAAACAGGATTTGGTGTAGAAATGAGAAAAGTTTGGATTTCATGGGGAAAAAACTTCACAACCACTGTTGTCTTCATGGGAAATCCTCACCAACCTGCTCCGGATTCATTATCCAGTCTGTCAACGATGACGTTTTCACAGTTACACACAAAGTTACTGACGCCATCGACCAAAGAGACAAAAACAGGACCAACGAAGCAGAAAGGCAACAAACTAAAAGACTTTAATGAAACGGAAAACAAAAGCAAAGAATGAAAAAACTCATTTCCAAAGAACAGAAACTTCCACGTTTGGTGGGAAAACAAAGACTTGATGTCAAATCAAACATTAAACTAACAAACACAGAAGGTGAGAGGGTGCAGGTGAGTGAATGAGAGCGGGCGTGATTGCTGTTTCCGGCTTCAGTTTTCATGATTTCACTCAGATTTAGAATTGAAATATGAGTTTTGTAGCTCTGAATCAGGACAGGGATCTTTTCTGTTTAACAGCAAGTAAGTTACAAATCATCATCGAATTCCCTAAAAAATCAACCTTTTGTTCTGAAAGTTGAAAATAAAAAGAGGAAAACTATTTTACGTTAGAATTTGTCCCAATAAGAAACACCAGAATCAAATGTAGCTCGCCCAGTCGTGGCCTTTTGGGGAGAGCTGCTCTGGACGGACTCCACTCTCTCAGGATGTGATTCACTGATTTTATTTACTCCACAGAGACTCCAACGATAAACACACCTGCCAGCCAATGGCAGAACCGTCTCGCTGTGTTTGTCAGAGCAAGTCTGTCGGATGTTAAATCAATAAACCACCTCGATGCAAGAAGGAGGTTTGATGGAGTCCACAAACCAGAAGACTCTGACTCACTCTGGCCTGCAGAGTTCTCCCCCCACCTGACTGCTGTTCTGATGGGCTCAGTTTCCGTGTGAGGGTTAGGAAACATCCCGAGATCCACTGAGAGGTTCTGTGCTGATTGATCCCTGATTATCACTCATTACCCCCCCCCCCCCCCCCCCCCCTTCCCAGTGCTGCTGAGAAAAACGGGTGGGTGGGGTCGGCTAACTGATGTTGTAGAACACTTCGTACATTTCTAACAGGGAAAAACAATCTAAGAGAAATAAACGATGCATTAATAATAAATAAATAAGTGCTGAGTGTACGTCACACACCATAACGTCGACGTGGTCGTAAACATGGCGACTGAAGCGGAGTTCGCTGCGGCTCTTTGCTCTGTTCTGACTGACTTGCATGTCTTTAAAACAACAAGTAGAAGCGCTAAAAGTCGTTCTTCTTGTTTGCGCCATCGCCATGGCGCCATTTTTGACTACAGCTAAAAAACGACAGTGTTGCGGTATGGTCGGCATTTCCGTCTTTTTTCTGATTGGTTATTTTTGAGATGGCTAGCCCCGCCCCTCATGTCCCTCTCTGCCTGGGGGTAACCGGACGTTTCCTCTGTACAGAATTAAACAGAGGACGAGTCTGGCCGGCTGCTGTAGGCAGCACCAGTCCACGGGGTGTCTGTCTGTGCTGCAGGAGACCTGTTACCATAACATCAGAGGGTTGTAGGTGCGATCCCAGCATGGAATGCTGCTGTTGTGTCCTTGGGCAAGATACTTAACCAACCTTGTCTGGTCGAAGAGACCAGTGGCGCCTGTGTTCGACGGCCTTGCTTCCGTTGGTGCGCCCCAGGGCTGCTGTGGCTACATTGTAGCTCATCATCACCAGCATGTGAATGAATGTGTTGTGAAGCGCCTTGGGGGGTTGTAGAACCTTACGAAGGTGCTGCAGGCCATTTACCATAATACGTGTAGTAACTACTCCCTAGCGTAAAACAGCCAAGAGTGCTATCACCAGATACGACGATGTGTTTACCCGCTTATCAACTCACGGTGTCTGACCCGTCTTTGCTTGTCGTCTAGAATCTTCTGGTGCTGATCCATAACTGGCAGCAGCCATGAAACTGACAGAATGATAGTGAGTTTGTGACTATTTGATTATAAAAATGGGCTACAGTAACCAAATGCGACCCCAGGATGTTGTTCTTACTTTATGCTTCCATATTGCACCTTTAAAGTAAACATTGTTTTCCATCATATCTGGGAACAGCACCTGCAGGCTGAGGCAGCTCCAACCCTCTCACACTTGTCTTCCTATTTACATGATGAAGGATCTTTTTAACACATCGACTTGCAGCCTAATGAGCAGGACTCCAGCAAACACTCGAGTGCAGCATGCAGAAGTATGAGCCCTCACCAGGCCCATTCAGCCTCATGCCAGCATGCACCTCTCCGTTTGGGAAAGTTGTGTCGTGCCAACCACAAACAATAGCCCTCAATTACCAGTCCACAATCAATTAGAATATTAAAAGCTTCTCATGAGGAAGAAGTGGACGGGCCGACAAAGCCTGAGGTGTGTGACCTGGTGAGAAGTCTGCAGATGCAGGAGGCCTCGCCGTGCCGTGGCGTGTAGCTGCAGGCTCCAGACCCAAAAGCTGCCCTTGTGCTTCTTGATTTAATCCCACTTTATCCAGGAGAGACGAGCCGTCAGATCTGGGAAAAGAGAGCAGGAGGACGGAAAGAGAAAGAAAGTTTTGGGACATTCAAACGTCTGTTTAAGGGTGGAGATACACCCACTCAGGAAAAGCTTCAACAAGAGCTTTCAGGGGAGATTCCCACAGAATTAGTTAATTAAGACAAAAGGCAATGAGAACATCAGAGTGTTTAAGCCTGTTTGCTCCAAGGCAACACGCCTGTGGATGAAAGACTCAGAAATAAGCCATCTAAGGGTTTACTTCAGCTTCTCTCTACTTTTAATGACTTTTTTTTATTCCACTGTTTGGTTTAAAGTTTTTTTCTTTCTTTTACTTTAATGCTTTACATAAAAGTGATTAGAAAACTTATTTATGTTGAAAAAGAAACTATTAAATATTTGCATCCTTATTTATCCAAGCGATCACATGTTTGTATTATTTGTTGAATGTTTCATTTTTAATAATTAATTTCTTGTAGTTTTTCCCAGTTGGGTGCTCCAGTGAGGAGTGGAGACCCACACTTCCCGTTTCTCCATCCTTCTTGGACTGATCCGTAACAAAACAATCCCTGATCTGATCATTATTTGAGCTTTGGCTCTGATGTTCGCCTCTCACCGCTTGTGTTCCAGATGGCGTCGCTCTGGTTCTTGTAGCCGCTCTTTACGCACTCGTCCACGTAAGATTTGGGGTCGCAGCCGGACACCAGGATCTCCCTCAGCAGGGCGATGTAGGCGATGGCCAGCCGCAGGGTGTCGATCTTCGACAGCCGCTTCTCGTAAGGAAACGTCGGCACGTGGCAGCGGAGCTCTTCAAAGGCGGAGTTGATGCTCAGCATCCTTTTCCTCTCCCGGATGTTGGCCGCGTGCCGCTGCACCTTGCACGGCGGATGAGGCACCAGCCTGCGCGTCCTGCGCCTGGCGGCCTCCAGAGAGGCGTCTGCAGGGGAGTCCTCCTCACCCTCGGCGGAGGTGCTCCCCCCCGGGGACTGGGCGTCCAGGTCGGTGAAGGTGAGCTGCGGGTCCGAGAACACGGACTGACAGCTGAAACAGGACCAGGGGGACAGCTGGCCGCTGCATGCCGCCGTGCAGTCCATCAAGACGGAGTTAACCTGGGTCTGAAACTGGAGGTTCTGCTCGATTTGTCCCCAAAAGGCCAAATCAGACCCTCCATCCTGGTCTAAGTCAAAGAGAAATTCAAAATCCTCCATCTTTTTATATCTTATGAATAACGCAGCGCCCGGTGGTGTGGATCTCTACCGTGTGTCAGACTCATGGGAACGTTCAGATTAAATACCTCAGAGGTTCTCAGTGGGATTCACCCAATTCTAAAGGCTGAAAGGAGCTCTCAAAGCCGCCGCTCCCCGCGGCGCGGAGCGGCCGCTGCCTTCAGACAAAGAGCGAGAAGACAAGGAGATGTCTGAAGGACAACAAGCGGCGGGAACACGTGTTCCATTATCATCTTCCTCCTGCTGATGCTGACAGGATCCACTCAGCATCCAGGGGGAGGCTGGCACGCTGCGCCGTGCGCGGCGGCCTCCGCGCGCCCTGAATAGGATCGATTCACCCATTCAAGCTCAGCTCATAAACAGCAGTGTCACAAACACGTGGGGGCTCTTTGTTGGTCCAGAACTATAATAGATTTTCATGTTTTCATGTTTTGCTTCATTCCGGCATCCACAAACATTTTTACGCACCGGGGTTTTGGCTCTCCGTCAGCTCCACCTCAGCGCGCGGGTTTAGGAGCCACATTAGTGCATTTCTAATTTGTAAATGACACGAGTGACTAAATGGCAACAGCCTGAGAGAAGCTGTCAGGCTGAATTTCTGGGTTTGGTGGGGCTGACATGTTTGCAGACACGTGGTTTTGATTTATCCTCCAAAGATGCTCATTTAAAGAGATTCTGCTTGTTTCAGTGAACAGTTGATCTGGTCTGAATTATCCAGACCATAAAACAGGTGAAGCTTGGGAGAAGCAACCAGGGATCGTTGAAATTCCAGTTTAATCATAAAATGTGTTATTTGGTTTAAAAAAGGAAATCCTACCATCTAAACACTCCTGTGAGCTTTAAATGATCAAACACCAGAAATCATATGACTTATGATGACTAGGTTGCTAAATATTGCATTATATTAGAAGTAAAAACTGTAGATTTGGTCCAAATCTGACCTACAAATAAAGACAAATATGTAAAATGTTCATTAAAAGGGGTTTAGTAAGACCTTGTTTAATATTTAAACATGAAAAATGTATTTTATGATTCCTGCACAGTAAACGTGAGAGACAAATCCTTCCTATATTTAAAATGAGGTCAACCCCTTCTTCATTCCTTAATGTTTAAAGACACAGAGGTTTTGTTGACCCTGACCAGAGCAGCTTAGATGTTTGAAATAACAGCTGGACTGGTTTTGTTTTTGAAGAGGAGCATGCTCAGTCAGACCCTGAGCCGCCTGCCAGCATCACATCTCTCCCAGCTGACAGCTTAGAGAGACAAGGCTGTCAGATCCAGACCTGCCTTATTGTCTGCACGCTTTAAGAGGTCCAAAAAGGCACAAAAGAGACTCGAAGACTAGAAAAATCCAATCTTTAAGATTTCAAAATGATCAAATTTAATTATCTATGCATTGATTCATGATGTTGTTCTAACTGATGTCCAGTCAGATCCTCTCTGGGGGTTTCTGGACCATCTGGAGCGGACTTGGATGCTGCACAAGGCCCCATGTTCACAACTGGAACCGTGGGTTGAAGCCGTTTCCCACCTGGGAGTTACCGCGTGAAAAGCAAGGAAGTTAATGAAACTTTCAATCAAACAGAAGTGATCCAGAGTCCATCCTTCATGTCTTTAGTGATGTTAGGATTTGCTAATCAGGTGCAGGTTGGTTGGGGGGTGAACGTCGGCTCAGAGAGGACGTGTCACTTCCTGCTGATGGTCTGTGTTGCTAAAATCTCTCCGAGTTTCCAAAATATTTCTCACATCCTAATTTCTCTTTCACTTGTTGATTTTCTGTCTTTACATCAACTTTTACTAATCACTCAAGGTCAAACGCTCGGAATATTGCTAAGATTAGAAGCATCCTTTCCAGGAGTGATGCTGAAAAACTAGTTCATGCATTTACTACATCAAGACTGGATTACTGTAATTCATTACTCTCAGGAAGTCCACAGAAGTTAAAAGTCTTCAGCTTGTCCAAAATGCTGCAGCTAGAGTTCTGATGAGAATTAAAAAGAGAGATCATATCTCTCCTGTCCTAGCTTCCCTACACTGGCTACCTGTTAAATTCAGAATAGATTTTAAAATCCTCCTTCTCACATATAAAGCTCTTAATAATCAAGCTCCATCATACATCAGTGATCTGATTGTTCCATAAGTTCCTAACCGAGCACTTCGCTCTCAGACTGCAGGTCTACTGGTGGTTCCCAGAATATCTAAACTTAGGATGGGAGGCAGATCTTTTAGTTATCAGGCTCCTCTCCTGTGGAACCAGCTCCCAGCTTTAGTCCGTGAGGCAGACACCTTGTCTACTTTTAAGAATAGGCTTAAAACATTTTTATTTGATAGGGCCTATGGTTAAAATCTGATGTTAGCCTAAATCTGGACAAGTGGGGGAGTAGAGGGAGGTGGAGTGTACAGTCGGTAAAGACGGCTCTCCCTTGCCCTGCCTCCAACATGCTTCCATCTAAATAGGATAGATTATCCTGAGTTATCTCTGTAGTTATGCTGCTATAGGCTTAGACTGCTGGAGGACACACTGACCACTTTTCACACTCTACTACTTTCTTCTACAGTCTGCTCTTTAACTGTATTATTTCCGGCTATTTCAGCTGTTAACTTTATTTTCTCTCTAAGTGTTTTTCTCCCCAGAAGAAGCTACAACGATGTTCTGCTGAGCTGTGGTGGCCTCATGGAGGGGGCCATCGTCTAGCACACTGCTGCTAACCACTTAAACATTCTCCCTCTCCTGATAATAACTTTTTGCTTTCCTTGACGTTGGATGTGCTACTACTAGTTTATCCGTTTAATTATAGATTCACTAGGATAAATACAATAAAGTTTATCTCTCACCAAATAGAATATTTACTAAGAAATCACAATATAACTATAGACACATTATTGTGTGTGTGTGTGTGTGTGTGTGTGTGTGTGTGTGTGTGTGTGTGTGTGTGTGTGTGTGTGTGTGTGTGTGTGTGTGTGTGTGTGTGTGTGTGTGTATGTGTGTGTGTGTGTGTGTGTGTCTGCTCTGTCTTCTCCATCCCCAGTGAGTCGTGGAGGATGGCTGCTTATACTGAGCCAGGATTCTCTGGAGGTTTCTTCCTGTTAAAAGGGAGTTTTCCTCTCCACTGTCGCTGCATGCTTGCTTAGTATGAGGATTGCTGTATAGTCACTGACACTAGTCAGTGACTTGATGCAATTTGCTGGGTTCCTTATATAGGAAACATCATTTCTGATTAACTTAATGAACTGTGAATGTTTATTATGTGAAGTGCCTTGAGACGACTCTTGTCGTGATTTGGCGCTTTATAAATAAAATTGAATTGAATTGAATTGAAACGCTTCATCTACTTCCTGTTTGGGGAGGATCTGGATCCTCAGGGCGACCACATACATACAGTTAAATGCTCACAACATGCACCAACATGAAATACTGTAAACGGCAGGCGGGATTGTGCCCGCTCACCATCCACGCAAAACAAAAAGCACATTTGCGATAAGATGGTTGAGTTCAGTGACGCACGTCTTGTTTGTTTGTGTACAAGAGCAGATAAACATCTGAAACCTCTGGGACCGGCGCTGGCTGCTGTGAGGGACTGGTACAGCAGCCAAGTGTAATCTTCAGCGCTGACCACAAACGGCCCTTTGATCCGTGCTGGGACTGCAGGACCATTAGAGTGTCACGGCACATTGAAGTGATAGTTCAGAGCAGAAGTTAGCCTTGACCACAGATCAGGCTTCAGATTGCTCCAGGCCTTTTACCTTCAGAGGTATGCTGCAATCAGCATTGCTGCAACCAAAGGTATGTGCTTCAGCATCAAAGGAGCTGGAGGAAAATGATGCAGGAAATGCCTGGGCTGATTGCATGCAAGGGGTTTGTGAATCTGGGGTGACATTCGTGACTCGGGTCAACGGCAGTCGTCTGCAGAAATAAACTCTGCAACTTCTGCTAAACCTGACTGTGAACCCTGGAGTCAAGAAGCAGCTTCCTGGCTCAGCGCCACTCTCTTCTGCACTTCAGGCCCACGTCTAGTCTGGAGAAGGCATCAGAGCCATAAAGCAGGCCTTCAGCAAACAGCCCCTCCGGGGGGCACCGCCCCTTTTCCTGGACTTGACTGAAGCTGGATGTCGGTCCTCACACTTTTAAAAAGTCAGGGTGTGTGTGCTGCATGACAGGTGCTCTTCAGATAACATGACATCATTCTATGTGCATGTAAGAAATATAATATATTGCACAGCTACAATAATTAATCTAATCTGTATTCATTACATCTACATTTGTTGTTGGACTCAGTTAAAAGACCTAAAAAAAACAACCAAAATACAGAAAATGCCTTCAAAGAATTCTCCCCTGCAAAAAATGAGTTTGTCAAAAATAATTTTCATAATTTCCATCAATAAAGAAAAGATTTAAATCATTTGAACACATTTCTTAAACTCAGGGACAAAGAAATTAACTCAGTGAAAAACACGTTTAAATGCTCGGAGCCAATCAGGCCTCAGATGTTGTTTCCATGGCAGCAAGAATCCATTTATGACTTATTAAACTGAATTTCTTTAAAAAACAGATAACAATAATTTTATTATGTACTCACCGGCCACTTTATTGGGTACACCTGTCCTACTGTTCATTAATACAAATTACTAATCAGTCAATCACATGGAGGCAACTCAGTGTATTTATGCATGTTGACATAGTGAAAATGATCCGCTGCAGTTCAGATTAAGCTTCAGAATGGGGGGAAACGTTGATTTATGTGATTTTGAACGTGGCATGCTGGTTAGCGCCAGACTGGCTGGTCTGAGTATTTCAGAAACTGCTGATCTTCTGGGATTGTCACGTACAACCATCTCTAGGGTTAGGGTCAGGAAAACGTCCAGTTCTGTGGGCAACAATACCTTGTTAATGGCAGAGGTCAGAGGAGATTGACCATCCTGGTTTGAGCTGATAGTAACTCAAATAATCACCTGTTACAAGCAAAGTATGCAGAACAGCATCTCTAAACGCACAACATGTCGAACCTTGGGGCAGATGGGCTACAGCAGCAGAAGACCCCTCCTGTCAGCTAGGAACAGGA